AAATAAATCTGTTATTTTTTCTTATAAAAGGCTAAATAAAACAAAAATATTGGTGGTAATTTTTGACTGTGTAACTTTACAAACGGCTCCCCATACACAAAGAAAAATGAGTCAGAATCTGCTCCCACTCTCCTCCAGTCAACAAATCCATCAGCTGCCTGTTCCTGAAGTTTTCAGCCAAACATTTGAGAGCTTCACAGTAAGAGATTCAGTCCCTGAGAAGACGTTTCAGACTCCCGTCACATTAAAAGAAGAACATGAGGTGCTCGGAGAAAAGGAGGGATGCAAAAAAAAAAAAAGAAAAACGGTCCAACAAACACTGCAAGGTTTCAAATACACAGAAAGAACCGTCACAGAAGATTTCAGCTCATCTGACAGAAAAAAAAACCCTCACCAGCTCTTCAACTCTAATCTGAAGCTGAAATAAACGCAGAGGACAGAAGGAGGAAGAGTTACAGACTTATCCTGTAAAAACAGATTGATTTGCCTGCAGACAGCCGAAGGACAGACAGGAAGCTGAAACTGAGACGTTAGAGGACGAGTCTCTGCAGGTCCACCTGCGAAGACAAGCCGAGGCCGTTAGCGGAAGACAAAACTGAGATGAAGGGACAGAGAGGTGACAGGAGAGGAAGTGACAAACAGGACAAGGATGAAGACAGGACAAAGACAGGATGAAAACAGGACAGGACAGGACACCACACAGTCTGACACTCTTCACTTCTCCTTTGCAAGAGGACGACGCAATGAGTGTGAAAATTAAACCCAACAACCTGACCTCTGACCTGCCTGAAGCGACTGTCTGTCTGTCCGTCTCTGAGTGAGACAGGTGAGCCGATGGAGGCGGGAAGATGGACGACTGACAGATGGACAGCTGTGATGAGTCATCAGGAAAAGATGACGAAGAGGAGAGGACGAGGAGAGGACGAGGAGGACCAATGACAAGTCCGTGTGGATGGGAGGAGGTGAACGTGAGGGAAATTAAAGTGTCAGCGTGAGGAGGAAGAGAGAAAAACCATGAAGGTCAGTGACAGAACCAAAGAGGAGGACGACAGGTGGTCTTCATCTCCTTACCGTGGCGTCCCCGGGGGGCAAACGGCGTTTGAGGTCGGAGGTCGAAGTGATGGACCTAAAAGAGGTTTTAGGCTCGGGCTCTGCTCTACCACTTTTCCTATCCTACAATAAATCATATGATAGGTGCACACACACATTAACACACAGCAGAGACACGGCAGCCTCACACACACACACACACACACACACACACACACACACACACAC